ATACATATATATATATATATATATATATATATATATATATATATATATATATATATATATATATATATATATATATATATATGTATATATATATATACATATATATAAGAGAAATCGGAAGGTCCTTACCAGCTCCCTTTCCCCAGGCTACGACGGGCGTTTGGGCGTGCGAGTGGCTGTCCCTTATTTGGGAGACTTCCAGGTGACGAGAGAATTCGGGCCGGGGAAATTTGGGCCTCATTTGGGCCCCGGCAAGTACCCATACCCAGGGGTGAGTACCATGTGGACAGAGGTCATTTTTGCGAGAGAGGATGATATGATGGCTACTTGATGAGAACGCAGGTTCCCACATTTAGGATGGACGACTGTGTTAGTTTTGTTTTTTTTAATTTGTGTTTGTCTGGTTTTTTATTTGCTTTTGTTTGATGGATTTGTCTACCTCGTTGAGTGGTCTTGTCAGCTTGCTAAGATACAGTAATGGTGTTGTTTTTTTCAATGCTGTGTTTTTTTAAGAGGGCGAGATTGAAATGATGATGCAGTCCTTTCCGTTGACTGACTAAGGGTTGGGATATACTGCTTGATAACTATCATTCTTAAGAAGGCAATGTTAGTCAAATGTTTAGAATATATAGTACAATAACTTCATTGGGCCACGTCTCGGGAAAAAAAAAAACAGACAAGGCATGCTACAACAGGAATGAGGATTATGAATGAGTGTTGGAACGCGACAAGGAAATTGTTGTTTACTTCGTGGATTTCTAAAAAAAAAAAAAGAAAAAAAAATGAGAGAGAGAGAGTGCAGTAGAAGGAATCACCTTGGGAGAAGAACAGATGAAGAAAATAACAGAGGGTAGATTGAGGAAAGAAAGTCAAATTTAAAAAAATAAATGGAAATCAATCGACAAAGACCTACCATGTTTTACATATATATACAAGTAGTAAGAGAGAAATGACTGACTCATGACAGGATCCGCTCATGAACAGGGGACTCTTGAAGATTAAAGATATCTCTAAGTCTCTCTACATACAACTGCCTCTCCTTCCCTCTAATCCTTAATCTGCATTCTCTCTCTTACCCTTAAATCAAGGAGTAGATCTCATGAAGCTGATCCTCTCCCTCCCTCGTTCTTATCAAATCCACCTGGCTATCTCTCCTTTCACGAATTCAATCCTAAATAAAAATATAAAAATCATGGAATCTATGGTATATTGATGGAGTGATGCATTCTTCATCTGGCCATCTCTCTCTTCACATATCCGATCCTAAAAATCAACTTATCCTGGAATAAATAGTTTGCTGATTTTAAGACCGATCGGGCTGATGATATATTTTTACATATCCGATCCTAAATATCAACTTACCATGGGATAAACGGTATATTTATCTTCAGACTGATGGGGATGATGTGTATTCTACCTGGATTTCTCTCTGTTCACATAATCCGATCTTAAAAATCAACTTACCACTGAATAAACAATAAGCTGATTTTAAGACATAGGGGCGACGCTATCTATTCACATACACGATCCTAAAAATCAACTTAAAATAGGATGAATGGTATATTTATTTTAAGAGTGATGGGGGCGACGCTAACTGTTCACATACACGATCCTAAAAATCATCTAACCACTGAATAAACGATAAACTGATTTTAAGACATAGGGGCGACGCTAACTGTTCATCACATCTCCGATCCTAAAAAATCAATTTACCCTTTTATTCCAGTACTCGAAGGACTCTTCAGGATCCTACGGCTACGGGGGCCACGCCAGCCACGCCAGCCACGGTAGCCACGGCAGCCACGGCATTCCGATCCCGAGCCTGCCCTCAGGGAAGAAGAAGAAGAAGATTAAGAAGCTGGGTATCAAGGCTTTGTACAAGGGCTTGAAGAATTATCCTTGGCACGGAAGGAGGAGGAGGTAGATGCTGAGGCTCGAGGAGGAGGGAGATGAATAAGTTCGAGGAGGAGGGAGATGCTGAGACTCAAGGAGGAGGGAGATGCTGGGACTCAAGGAGGAGGGAGATGCTGGGACTCGAGGAGGAGGGAGATGCTGAGGCTCGAGGAGGAGGGAGATACTGAGACTCGAGGAGGAGAGAGATGCTGAGGCTCGAGGAGGAGGGAGATGCTGAGGCTCGAGGAGGAGGGAGATGCTGAGGCTCGAGGAGGAGGTAGATGCTTGAGCCTCGTGGAGGAGGGAGATGCTGAGACCTGTTGGCTTGGCTTGGGTTATAAGGCAGAGGATGGATGAGCTCCAGGGGTGTCATCTCAGATTTTTCTTGGGCGGGCATATCAGTGCTATGCCCAGAGCTATAAAGGTGTAATTTAGGCAAAAAATGTAAAAAAAAAAAAAATGGGAGAGTGGTCTTTGGATAAGAAAGGGGGGGGTATAAGCCAGAACTTGAGGGGAGCAGTCATATATTTTTTTTTTTTTTTTGGGGGGGGGGGGAGTGACGCCCCTGGTGAGCTCCTGGAGTTCTGTTAAGAGTAGAATGTGTGCGTTTGTGTTTGTTTGTTTTCTTCTTTATTTTTCTTCATCTTTTTATTCTTCTCCTAGTCATTTTTTTTCTTTATTCTTCATCTTCCCTCTTTCCATCTGAGAGATATTTCCCCACTTCTGTTATTTATTTATTTCTCCTATTTCAAACACGCCGCATGCATTCCGAATTCTGTAGATATTGCATTTAGAATTATGTATCTAACTGTTATTTATTTAAATGTTGAATTAATTTTAAGGTCAAGAACAAAGAGTGATTTTTTCTCAAGATTAAATTACACCTTAATCAAAATGTAATAAAATAGATAGAATATATAAAACTGTATAAAATAAAATACCTTATGACGTAATAAAAGAAAAATATTCTTTTTTTTTTCAAACCTGTTTTTTCATCATTCAACTTGAATTATAGATAACAAATAAATAAGAAATAAGGAATTATAATAATTTCCGTTGTTTATGGACAAAGAGAGAAAAAAAGAGAGAATTAAATAACGAAAAAGATTTATTCATTTTGTACACAAATGGCTCTTAATAATCTTTGGTTTGCTTAGGCGGGTCTTACAAGAAAAAATATAGTCAAAAGAAATTAAATGTAGACTTAAGGATTTATTATTTCTCTGTTATTTTGTGTGTGTGTGTGTGTGTGTGTGTGTGTGTGTGTGTGTGTGTGTGTGTGTGTGTGTGTGTGTGTGTGTGTGTGTGTGTGTGTGTGTGTGTCTGTGTGTGTGTGTGTCTGTGTGTGTGTGTGTGTGGTTTTGGAGAATAATCTAACTCATTATAATTCACTCTTATTTCTCACATATTGTATCTCGAATGTTCTCTCTCAATATAGATAACGTATTCTGTTTCCTTTCTTTCTTCCATCCCGTCCTTTTCTCTCTCTCTCTCTCTCTTTCTTTTTTCTCTCTCTCTATTTTTTATCTATCTATCTCTCTGTCTATCTCTCTCTTTCCCTCTATCTATCTATCTTCCTCTCCTCCTATCTATCTCTCTTTCTTTCACTCGCTCCTCCGCCTCTATCTCTACTTCTCTCTTTCTCCTTTCCCTTCCCTCCCTTCTCTCTTTCCTCTATCTCCCAGTTTTCCTCTCTCTCTCTTCGCCTCTCCTTCCTTCCCTCTTGCACCTATCTCTCTCTCCCCCTCTCTCTCCCTCCCTCTCTGTCTTTCCCTCTCTCTCTCTCTCTCTCTCTCTCTCTCTCTCTCTCTCTCTCTCTCTCTCTCTCTCTCTCTCTCTCTCTCTCTCTCTCCCTCTCTCTCTTTCTTACTTTCTCTCTTTCTTTCTCTCTCTCTCTCTCTCTCTCTTTCTCTCTCTCTCTCTCTCTCTCTCCCTCTCCCTCTCCCTCTCCCTCTCTCTCTCTCTCTCTCTCTTTCTCTCTCTCTCTCTCTCTTTCTTACTTTCTCTCTCTTTCTTTCTCTCTCTCTCTCTCTCTCTCTCTCTCTCTCTCTCTCTCTCTCTCTCTCCTCTCTCTCTCTCTCTCTCCCTCTCTCTCTCTCTCTCTCTCTCTCTCTCTCTCTCTCTCTCTCCCTCTCCTCTCTCTCTCTCTCTCTCTCTCTCTCTCTCTCTCTCTCTCTCTCTCTGAAGAACTATTTTGATATTTATAATATTTAATCCAAAATTATTTTAATATTCTCACTGAGGAGACTTCATGCTTTTCCTTTCGGTCTTGACATCATTAAAATGTCTTTTTTTTGTAAAGAACTCTGGATTTGGAATTAATTAAGCACAAACAATTGCAGAGTTTTCTTTAAATCAATAGGAATACATTTTGATTTTCTAAAATAGATGTACTTTTTTTTAAACTTTGTCTATACAGTACATCGCCTTTAGATATTAAAGCTGCAAGCTTCATGTACATCCATTACAAAAAATGCAAAACACTCAACATTCGTAATATTCTCAAAGTAAAACTATCAATACAAAATCAGTACAAAGTAATCTATACATCTTTCCAACATGAACAATGTTATGCCATGTGATCTAACGCGTCATTTGATTAAGAATATTCAGAAGCGAGTATGTACAGAGGAAGATTAATCATATCACTAGATAATTAAAGAAGAAAAGATTGCTTTTCACGTCTCTGAAAAGCAAGGGATATTCGAGGTAACCTTCAAGTAACACTGCCTTTTTCAATAACTCATCGGAAAGTCATGATGATTCAGTGATCTCGCAAGCGCTTTGGCTGAACTGTAACCATCTTCCAGTTCCTCGTCCTTTCCAAGCACTAACCACAAGAAGTTATAAAGTGAAAAAAAAAAATCGAGTTCCACTGTACACATCATTACAGCACCGTTTAAAAAAAAAAAGTCACCTGCACACATCATTATATCAATGTCAAAGAGTAGGTCGACTGTACACATCAGAGGGTAAGTTAACTGTACATATCAACGGAGAAATTCACTGTACACATAAGAGTTCACTGTACAACGTCTGGAAGTACGTTTTTGTTTTTTCTTTAAGATCACAGAAGCCGGTGTTCCCTTAGATGAGTCTCTTTGTGT